ATTATGAATTCACAAGGGTTGAAACAAATTAGAAACACCCACAATTTTCCCCTTGAAAAAATTTTAGTTTCAACCAAGTCAAATTACGACCATTTAATCGGGTGCGACCAAAAGCCCCATTTAACGTCAGTATCGGGTAAATTTCCGCTAAGACACAAAATCAACCCCTATATAAAGGTGAGTGGAGTCCATTTGAAGCTTTTCCACCCTCTCTCTACTTTCTCTCTCTATAAGTCGGGTTTTGGTCAAAAATCACCCCTTCGAGCTTCAAAACGGTAAGTTAACCTTCCTACCTTGTTGTTTAGCTTATCACACTTGAAAATTCGTGGCTTAAACATCCAGAAACCCTAATAACAAGATTTTACGGTTTTGGAACATCCCAAAACCATAAACACCTTGATAGAGGGTTTTGATGCCCAAAAACCCTTCCAAACCACTTCTAATGCTTAGTTATGACTTAGGGGCTTACATGAAAGGACTTAGAACACCAAAATCTTGATTTTTGGGGAGTAAACATGAGTTTACGGCCCAAGAACATTCTTGGACTGTAAACCCACCTTCAAGGACCGTAAACACCTTCCCAAGGTATTTAAGTGCCTTTAACACCTTCCTATGCTCATAAAAGTGACTAGAACCTTGCCTACATAGCTTAGAACCACCAAAGAACAAAGGAAATGAACAAACATAAGTTTAAGACCATAAAATCATTTGTTTATGGCTATCAACTCCCAAGGGAGTGGTATAAGGATCGTAAACTCCATAAAGTGTCCCTTTTGAGCCCTAAATCACTTCTATAGCTCTTGAATCAACTCTAGAACCCTTATTTGTCATGCATGAAGCCTTAAAGCACACAAATGCACCATTCCCATGAGTTTATGGTCGTAAACTCATGGGGGATATGGTTCCAAAACCGTAAACACCCTTAGACACTACTATTTGCGGAGTAAACTCCAATGTGAGTCCATACACACCTTATATGCAACCCTTGGTACTCCTAGCACTTGTAGCAAAGTGTTTTCATGTAGTAGAACATATTTACTTGCTTAATTAGTTATTTAATGAATAATTGGATACTTAAATGTATCATTACATGTTAAATAGGATCCACGTCTGTGGTCAAGTCCTCACTTGACACTTAGCATCCTATACCGCCCATTCATCCGAATCGCCCACGACAGGCGAGTTCATACCCCTGAATTAACCTTTTAAATATTTTTAACTGCTTTTATAGGGGGGAATACAAGTTGAACTGTACAGTTATTAGATAAATCGCATGTGATTAGTAATTGTATAGCAAACTAGACTTTTGCATGTTAACTGTTTTAATCAAATTAATATTTTCAAATCATGTTTTCAAATATTGTTAAAGTATGAATATCTCTGTTTAGATCATTAAGGGTTATCCAAAGTTTTCCAAAGTATGTTGCTAAAGAGACATCCAGTGTAATGACTATTTAAAGGTTTTCTTCTCTAAAACTGTTTTATAAAAACCCTTTTCAAAGCTTGTTTTACAAAACGACATAAATTCGTAAATTTCTTAAGTATTATGTTTTACCAAAGTTTTATTCTATGCTTTTATTTCTTAAATGCATGTCTATATTTGTATAGTTATATAAATAATGTTTAAAGGACTTTGGAAGGCTAGTTCGCCCCATTTCCTTTTCCTCGTTAGGATGTGGTCTGGTGGGTATCGGATATCCATCCGAAGGTCGTTCAAACATTAATTATATATCATGTATACATATATGGGTATAAAAGCTCTCTCTCTCT